AAAATTTGCCTCAACAATTAGGAAGATGAAATGCGAAAGGCTTTCGCGGCCATCATCTAATGTTATTTGGTTAGTTTTTGGGTGGCTAGGCCAAAAACCAACCAACAACAATTAGGAAGATTTTGTTAATTTCCTTCTTGGCCGCATACCGTCGGTTTTTATACAAATGGGACTGTGAATTCAACCTGCACGTTTGATTCAGGTTGGCACAACCGGCCCGGCGAGATACGTACGCAGTGTGTATATTCAAATAAAATTATCTCTTGGTAGCGTAGCTACTGTCATTCACAAAAATCTAGAACGTTAACTTCTTTCTGCCTTATTTTATTGAGCAATTATGAAAAAATATTCATTTAATGATTATAAATTGGGTTTTCTCCACATTTGGAAGCTTAAATACTGGAGGCACGAGGCGATCCACTTCATCCGCGCCATCTTAGTCCGCCACTCAACCTTATCTTCATTTCAGTTCAAATCGGGAAAAACCAATGGTTCATGGTAAAGGCGATCAGAAAACTGACAGTTGGTCTTCTAGGATGCAGATGTCTTGTTAGGAGCATCTAGGAATCTCAAAAATATAGATACTTGACTCTTAGTTGTAAATAAAAGTAGGGTATATTGTACCAGTTTTCAAATTGTACCACCCCAATATTTACAGAATTGTAGATTTCTAACGTCATCTGGAACATTTTGGCCTTATAAATGAACATACCCATAAGAATGCCATTTTGGTCTGAAAAATTTAAAAACTTTTTTTAAGAGGATATAAAACAACTAAAGGACTATAGCTATACTTTTGGTTGTATATATGTGATGGAGAAGTGCATAACTCAAGTAGCAGGAAGTCACATCTGTGCATTTTATAAGAAAATGAGGGCGGATTTCATAATAAAAAAGATGTCAAAACATCTGCAGGTGGACCGAACCATCGCAACCCATAACGAAAATTCTACTAAAAAAAGCTCTTTCGGCTGTTATTTACTTGATGTTTTGAATCTCTACCTCAGCTAATTATTCCATTTTATTACGAACATATGTTTAACTTCTAGGAGCACCCTTTTTGTGTGTTTAGGTGCCCATAAGCGGCGCTTCCTCCATTCTCAGGATAAAGTTTTTGTTGTAAGGCCTTATGAGTTGCGATGCTTCCATCCACTTCAAGTTGTTTTGAGATCTTCTTCATTATATGAAATGCCACGATTTTTTTATACAATGCACAGATGTGTCTCCATACTACAGTCTCCCCGGGTGAGCTATGAGCACCTTTTTGAAAATGATAGTAAGGCAAATAGAATGCTCATTAGAAGCGATAAATCATGATAAATGTCCATCTACGAAAGCCTTCTCCAGCTGACCTAGTCAAAGTAACTATTTTAATACCCCGGTATACACCTGGAACAGAAGGGCTCTAGACCAATGGCACGCAAACAGCAACCAGAATGACGGCAGGTCATCTGAAAACTGAAAGGAAAATAAGTTTTTGGTATAAGTGAAAGGTACACGTGCAGATTCTGTAACTCGCAGGGGTACCTTTCACACACATTCTTATTACTTATACCATAAGATTTATTTTCCTTTGAATTTTTAGATAACCTGCATCCATTCTGTTTGTTGCTTGCGCGACATTGGTCTAGAGACGTTCTGCCAGTCGTATACAGGGGTATTGCAATAGTTACTTTGACTAGGTCAGCAGGAGAAGGCTTTCGTACATGGAGACTTATCATGATAAATCAGTTCTATGGAGCATCCTATTTGTATATCTATCGTTTTCAAAAAGATGCTCATAGCTGAGCCGGGAAACTGTAACACGGAGACACACCTGTACATTTCATAAGAAAATTAGGGCAGTTTACATAATGAAAAAGACGTGAAAACATCTGGAAAGGGACAGAACTATCGTGACCCATGAAGGGTTACGCGACTGTCCTTTATAGAACAGTCATCGATCTGTCGGGCCGCCCTCGTCTGAACAGTATCGAGCAAGGAGAATGTAGTCGAGGTGGCATCCCTCCAAACATGTGAGCAGTACTCGCAGATGTCTTATCTGGGTCTATAAAGTGAGGAGTTTATATGGAGAAAAGTACTGCCGAGTCCTAGACAAATAGCCGAAATGCACGGCTCTGTGGAAGAACGGGGTCATTTATCGATACCGGATGTGCCCTACAGTACGCTTCCTGTTAGTCAAGGTACTACAAATTAATAAAATATTTTTTGAACGAAAAAGGATTAATGGAAGTCTGTTACGCATTATATTAACATAGATATTCTGGATAACAAGGACACACTGGTGACAGAGTATCTGTCAATGATGTCTTCTCTTGGCTTTAACGCATTTATCAATAAACCTATTAGACTGTCTTCGGGAACTTGCCTGGACCATATATTTTTTAGGCAAAAATTGATAACCAGTTGTTTATTATTAAATTCTTATATAGTCAATGAGGAAATAATGTATCACGGTCCAACATATATATATATATATATATATATATATATATGTAATAAAGCACGACCTTCTGGAATTTTGGAGGTTGGGCAAGTTGTAACAAGAAACAAACTAAACATAAATAAATTTGAGGAGTTTTTGAATGATTGTGATTGGAATTTGGTAACTAGTGTGAATGATCCAGAAATAGCTGTAAAGTTGTTTTTGACTACCTACAGCAGAGTTCCCCAAACTCGTAGACCCCTTGCCATGTTTTTCCGTGTTGGGTAGACCCTCTACTTACCTGATATTGATTTCCTGTAAATTCTAACTGTAGTGAAGTTTAGTGTTAAAAATTTAAAGCAAAAACACATGTTAATTTATACATTTATTAATTGAATTTAAATTAAAACTACTCAAAATAAAATTTTGTATCTGTTATGTAAAATATACGTAACATTAAATAAACACACAATAAGTGCCCGCATTGGGAATAAGTGCCCGCATTGGAAAAAAATAAGAGGGATAAAATAAAAAAAAGTGAAAAATAATAAAAAAAAAGTTTTTTACTTAAAATAGTACAATAAGCGAGTTCGTTTATTAATTATAACATAAACGTATGTTCTACAATAATTTCACTGTTAGTTTGATTAAATTCCACTTCTTATACGTAAAAATATCTAATATCTAAAAATAGGCAAAAAGTTAACGAATTTTAGTGTGTACCTATCCTTGAATTTTCAGAATAATTTAAAAAAAATATTTTCTATAAAGGGGGGTTCTTTAAAAAAATCAATGCGGGCACTTATTCCCAATGCGGGCATTTATTGGTCAGCCACCAATAAACATAAAATATACTATAAATAAAATAACATAAGCAATAAGTCAATATTTTTAGTGAGAAGGATGAACCTGATGCTTTAATAATAAATTATCAACATTTGGCGTCAATTTTGTAAGGGTTAATCTTAAATCTCCTCGGCTAACGATGTCCAGTCTGTTTCTTTTTTTCGTTAGGAGATTGGTAACAGCGCTGAACCCCCTTTCCACTAGGTATGGCGATGGAAAGGAAATTAAAAATTTGCTCGCTATATTCCATAATACGGGATAAGTAACGGGTATGTTGTTTTGCAGCCAGAATTGCTAATACCCGTTTTTAAACTGAACCTTAAGTTCTTCGTTTGTACTTAGTTCAGTCAGTTCCTCTTGTATTATGACATTCGTTTCTTCTATGTCACCATATGGATTAATTATCCACGGTGGTATTACCATAGTCAAGATATCCTCAAACCTAGATTCAAAATCTGAATAGAGGGCATTTAAATGTTGAACGTAAGTTGAAACGTCGTCTTCCTGGCAGCTTGTCTGTGACAAATTGGGAACTGAGAAAATTCGCCCCGTCCAACATTTTGCTTCATCAGTTTAACTCTGGCAAGAAACGCTGATAAGATGGACTTTGTTTTAATCAAATTTAAACTGTCGTCTTGTAATTGCAAATTAACCATATTAAATTTTGTAAACAAATCTGTTAAATAGGCGACGTCTGTTTTCCTCTTCATTAAATTTTCTTTTAAAATTTTATCTTTAGTATCTAGAAATTCTAAAATAGTCTCAAAAAGTGCAAAACATCTTGTCAAACATAAGCCTTTCGACAGCCAGCGTACTTCAGTGTGAAGGAGTAATTGATGAAAGTGTTCGTCATTTTCTTCACACAACTGCGCAAATAACCGCGTATTCAACGCATTGCTTCGGATTCGGTGCATCTGCATCAATGACTAAATGAAGTGATTCATGCAATCTAACACTCAAATTTTTAGCAACTAAATGTTGGCGATGGATGACGCAATGTATTGCTAACACCCCTGACACATTTTGTTTTAAATAGCTTATAAATCCAAGATAACGTCCAACCATGGCAGGTGCTCCATCTGTAGCTACTGATATTATATTTGATAAAGGAATTGCTTTTTCAATGAAGTAATCCTTCAAAACATGAAATATTGATTCACCTTTAGTGTCGGTTATCAAAGTTCTTGTGGAGAGCAGTTCTTCGTAGATTTCTTGATTCATAATAAAACGAACAAAGTTGACTCGTCCAGTTGTATAGAGAAATGGGTCGTTTGCAAATAATTACATAAGAAGGTTTCAATATCAGAACTCATTTCATCAATACGTCTTTCAACAGTATTGTTGCTTAAGGGAATTCTTTTAATGATATCAGATGCAGGTTTGTGTAAAATGTTTTTAAAACATCTTCAACGGCTGGAAAAATTAACTTCTCTCCGATAGTATGCGGTTTTCCGGATTTTGCTATAAGTAACGAGATATTGTAAGACGCCCGCAAACCATCATCATTTCTTTGTGACGTCGAAGCGAACATTCTGTCCAGTGTAGGTCTCTTCTGAAATTTATCTTTGAGTGTTTGAAAGTATTTCACATCTTTCTCTGTTTTATCAGAGTGGCATCTTCTCAGATGATCTTGGAGTTTAGATGGTTTCATAGCGTCATTGCCCAAAACTTTGTTGCATAAAAGGCACATAGGCGATTGTTTGTCCGGCAATGATGGAATGAAGTCAAATTTAAAATAATCAACACTGTACTGTCTTTATTTCTTTTTAGATTCGGACATGGCATCAGTCATCTGTGGGCAAAATCAAATTATTTAAATAAGACAGGAAATATAGCAGCTGTATGTTAAAAATATTTTTTGATTTTTCCGAAAACATTCCATAATTCGAACATCTTGCTACAATTAGCTCGAATTACGGAGATTGCACTGTAATTATATTACCGATTGCTAAAACTTTCAAAAAGAAACTATTGAGGAGTACTCGTGTAATTTTGCATGATTGAATATTTAACTACTAATAACTAAAGTCATGATTGGCGTAATTTATCTATCTCTGCTAACTACGAGTACAAAACTAAAATTTGATAAAAAATAATGTACTTACTTTTCTCCAGCACTCTCAAACAAACTAACACTGACTCACTATAATTTGTGTGATACACTATCTGTTTATATTTTTTTAAATATTTTCTTAGCACTTTCCTTTTCAAGATTCAGGAAACGAATAAACGTATTTGTCCCACATTCGTATTTATAGAGTGACAAATTGAACAAGTCAGTGAGGGGTAGCGAAGCTCTGAGACTGCGACTCTCAGGTTTTTACAAGTTCAAAATGTATTGCGACCACAAAGCGAATACCAAAATCCTACAACTTACACAATTTTATACACATATATAATAAGTTTTTACTTCATAGGTACTTTTATAAATAATGTATATGTTTTGATATTATAAGATAGTATGATGTAAGTAAATAGGTACTATCAGTGTATGTGTTGAGATCCACTATCGTGGACCCCCATATTCATTTCATGGACCCCCAAATTTTTTTTCGCTGACGTACACCCCTTGCAGGTTGTCATAGACCCCTAGGGGTCGATATAGACCACTTTGGGAATCAATGACCTACAGGGACTTGCTGTTGAAAGCAACAGCAACAATTGCCACAAGAGTATCAATCCCCAAAGAAAAATAAAGCCATGGATAAGCAATGCAATTATTGTTTCTGTGAAAAAAGGGATAAAATGAAAAAGAGATTTCTAGCAAGTATAGTGTTATATTTCTATAAATGATAATGATGGCAACCAGTTTACAGATTCTATTGAAATGGTGAATTTTGGTAATGAATATTTTATTGATGTGGGTGTTAACATGGCGCGGACAATTCCCACTCCTCAATCTGAGTGTAAATTACCCCGTCCAGAATTCTATTTTCTTACGTCCCATTATAAGGAATGCACTGATAAAACATATCGCATCTTTGAAAAGTAATAATTATGGCATACAGGTTGAAACTATAAAGCAAACTTATTTTGAAATTTTAGCATCATTATTACATATTTACAATTTAATTTTGGAAACTGGAATTATCCCGAAACAATTTAAAACGTCAATAGTTATCTCGATACATGAATAAATACTACTTCTATTGGAAATTACAGGCCTATAAGTTTAATAACAAATTTGAAAAATGTCTTAAAACTCGATTAATGGATTTTTTTAAAACTAATAAAGTATTATCAGATAATCAATTCGAGTTTCTTGGGGGTTACAGTGCAGTGGATGCTATGCAGAAATTACTTACTGAGATTGTCAATAATCTGAATAATGGCAACAAGAGTATTGCTGTTTTTTGGATCTTGCTAAAGCTTTCGATGCGGTTCCTCACGATAAGCTAATCGACATTCTTCACAGCAATGGTATTAGGGGAGTGGCTTATGATTTACTGAGGGATTATCTTTCAAACAGAACACAACTGCTAAAACTAAATAACATAATGAGCAACGAAAAAATAATAGAGATTGGTGTCCCGCAGGGACCGCTCCTTTTTATACTTTATATAAATGAGATGCTAAAGCTGGACACGGGGGGTTTAACTATTTCTTATGCTGACGATACTGTACTTCTTTTTGCAGGTTCCAGTTGGGAGGATGCAAACTGTAAAACAGTGTATGGTCTAGGTATCGTAAAAGACTGGTTACAAGAGAGTAAACTGACATTGAATTTATCTAAAACAAACTATATTGCGTGTTCATTAACCAATAAAAACAGGTCAGCTCACAACACTATTATGTTGGATGATAATTATTCTGTGAAGGAAGTGTCTCAAACTGGAACCATAATTGACCAACATTTAAAGTGACAACCACATGTTGATTATGTATCGAGTAGAGTTAGACAATTAATCCATAAATTTTATCTACTGCGAGAGTTTCTCGATAAAAAAAATTAATAACAGCTTATAAGGCATTTGTTGAATATATAATTCGATATGGGACATTAGTATGGGGCGGATTGTATAACAATGCTCTATTTAAACTCATTATTACTCAGAAATATATTATTAGAATAATTTTTAAGAAAGATAAAAGATTCTCCACTTATAAACCTTTTACAAAGGATGAAAAAACGTTTCGATGAAAAGCACACGCCTACAAAGCCATACAATAAGGGTGAGCTTGTATTATGGTCAGGCGCGAATACAAATCAGAAAGAAGTGAGCTGGAAAGTAGGTTATCAAAAGTTTGGTGGACCTTATAAAATCAAGAAGGTTTTGAGGAATGATAGATATGAAATAATATCTTTGGAGGGTTTAAAGGGGTATAAGAGATTTAGAGCCATAGTGGCTGCTGATAGCTTGAGAGAATGGAAAGGTGGTGTCGTTGATATTACAGAAAGTGAAAGCGAGGTAAATTCTACTGATGAACTAATCGATTTGTTAGAAGGTTAGGCTGTAAGGTCTGAGATAGTATTGATTCTATGTCCTCTAATTATCATGTTAATAAAACTCGTTCTTGAAGTTGCAGTTTTATTATAAATCAGTGGTGGTGTGGAAACTGAGGTCACCCTAGATGAAGGGTAGTATGCGTAAATATACGTGTGGTAACAAAGTTCACACCAATCTAATAGATTCAAAGAGTGTGATAACTGAGCTCACACATTACTACACGTATATAAGTGTGGTAACCAAGATCACACAGTGGAAGAAAGTATGTAAGTGTGGTAACTAAGGTCACACTGACTATGAGTAAGCAATGCTACAATCCATTCACCCTGTAATACATTTTATAGTAAAATGGCACTGTATTTTGTTTCTTTCTTAGGGCTACGAATAACAACTATGGGTACTATACAACTGGCGAGGACACCAAAGGATCAGGAAGGCCGACTAGACACACAAATTGTACCGGACAAAAAAAACATGTAAATAAAACACAATAAATTGAACGTTGGTTGTTATGGAGCGGGTCATTTCCTTTAAAAGCTGCTGAACATAGTCGAATTTGGGAGACTGCATTTCAAGCTTTAATTAAACATCAATTGAAAATACAACTTGACAAAACAGAGTTCCTAAGAACAGACGTTCCATTTCTGGGACATGTAATAACGCCAAACGGAATTATACCAAATCCGGATAAAATCGAATGCATTCAAGAATTTCCAATACCAAAAACTATCAAGCAAATTCAACTAGGCAGCAGCGGTGGCAGCAGTAGTAGACTCTTCGGTCTCCTGATCAGTCGCCGTGCGCTGTGTGGGTTCGAATCCCGTCCTAGGAGAATTTTTTCTCTTGGCTATGGATCTTGTGATTGTCCGTAGGTGGTAGACGGTCTCTGACTGTCGAACGCGGAGGTACCACCCGGCGGATCTCGTAGGCGGGGCCAGAATGTGTGCGTGTTGCATGCACACGTGTTCCCTCGCCAGAGTCCGTGTGGCGTTCCCCCTTTACCCTGTATCCCCCTATAGCCCCACGGTACAACATGGGTGTTTAGGCCTTAGGCCTACGTGGTGGCTGGTGTATAAAAAAAATTATCTGTAAGATTAACCAACTATTACAGAAAATTCATTAAAAGCTTTGCCAAAATTGCCAAACCTTTCACTAAATGTTTAAAGAAAGACGATAAAATCAACATTTCAGATCCTGATTACATTCAAGCTTTTGGTGTAATAAAAAAGACTATCACTAATTCACCCTTACTCCAATATCCTGGTTTTTCAAAAACGTTCACGTTAACTACTGACGCCTCAAATATTGCGATAGGAAGTGTTCTATCACAAGACAGAAAACCTATTAGTTTTCATTCAAGAACATTAAACTCTGCTGAACTAAACTATTCCACCATTGAAAAAGAACCCTTTATTGATTTGAAAGAACCAAATCAGAGATTAATTAGATGGAAAATCAAACTTGAGGAATACGATTTCTAAATCAAATACAAAAAAGGCAAAGAGAATTTAGTCGCTGACGCCTTAAGCCGAATCGAAATAAATGTTCATGATTATGTCGAAACCTAATGAATGATCCCTAACGCACCCGAATCAGAAATGACTATTTACGAAACAGACAACAGATCAACTAACACGAGACACACTTCGCCTGAATCAAACCCAAACACGATTCAGTTTTCAGACAAAAACCTTTATGCCTATCGTCACCGATTATAACTGGTGAAAAGAAAAACAAGATCAAATTACTTCCAAATAAGACACTAAGATGCTCTTTAATTAATCACTTATGTTCCTCATTTTCTTGGATTGTGTCAAAAATTATTATACGGCTGGTATTAAATGCGAAATTTAGTACGACGATCAGAAACTTTTGCCCATACTTAGTAAAATTATGACACAACCTTTTTCTGCAAAACACATTGTACTAGAAAAAATGCTGCATTTAAACCAATTTATTTAGACAAAGATGAATGAATGAAGGACGAATAAACTTTGTACCATCATAAATTTCACAACGGAATTAATGAAACTTATTCTAATTCCCAAAAGACTCACTATACTCTAGAACTAACTGACATCACTAATAAATGCGAAATCCGTTCAAAAACTAAATACGAACGAAAGCCTTACAAAGAACTAATCCAAGGCCCATTTTTCAGTAGCAAACCGTTCCAACTAGTGTTCATAGATATTTTTACTATTGAAAATACTAAATATTTAACATTTATAGACCACTCTAGTCGATATGCCCAAGCCCATCAGATTTTGTAACGAAATCACGTTGACATACTATCAAAAACGGAACATTCTTATCACATCACGGATTTCCAAAATCACTTCATGCCGATTATGGAGAATTTCGTTCAGAAGTTATTAAAGATTATTGTAAAGCTCATGAAATACATTTGCACTTAGGAAGCCCCAGCAGTCCTAGTTTTATTTCACCAATTGAACGATTACATCATTGGAGAAAAATTTCGAATCCTAAGACAGACTCGAAAAACAGACACTACTACTGGCCTAATGACTGACGTTATATTAAATTACAATCAATTTGTTCATTCTACTACAAAACATACACCTTTTGATTTATTATACGGTAGTACTGAAGACCCTTATTCATCACATTTTAAACAACTATTAGAAAAAGACACAGTTAATGAACAAATCGCTCACGATTCTTATAATCAATTAAAGAAACAAACTGACAAAATCAACAAAAAACGCGTAAGATCCCCGTTTTAAAATCTCCGATCTATATCAAAATCCCAATCAGACAAACTAAGTACAACCCAAAACATCAAAAACACACTATTTTCAAACAATAAGGAAATCAAATTTTAATCAAAGATAGAAAACCCATATTGAGAGGAATCAAGCCTCATTGTCAAAATTCTTTACAGGGCTTTACAGTCCAATGCCTATCAATTCGAGCGCGACTGATGCACCTCCGGTAATTAAACTGCTGTTAGGAAATTCAAGATTAATCGAAAATCGTCACAAAACTCAATTCTTTATTAATTTAAATTATACAACAGACGCTACTAGACTACTAAATGACGCTGTAAAAATTTCCCCAAACCATAGCCAAGAACTAATCAAGTTTTATTTGCTTTAACCGACTTAAACAATAAGCATGAATTTTTAACAAAACACCGCTCCAAACGAGGATTAATAAATGATTTAGGAACTATCATAAAATACATTTCTGGAAATTCAGACCAAGACGATTTAAATCTGATTTTGGATAATCAATCCAAAACTACGTGAAAATCAAAACATACTGAATCTACAGAATTAAAAAGTTATTTCCTTCTGTAAAGGTTTGCAAGGCACTTTTGAGCACAATACTCTCAATATCCAAGGAAGCATAGTTTCTCTTGGACAAAAGATGGCTTTTCAAATGAAATCTCCGAGCAAATCGCACATCAAATAAATTTACTGCATAACACTCAACGTTATGAAAGATTCCTTGATAGACTTAGAGCGTTCGCACACTACGTCGTATCGTAATACGTGCGTAGGACGAGAGCAAAACGAGCTCGCATGTGTGCTAACAAGTCCGCACACGAAGCGGTGTTGCAGTGAAGCGTATGAGATGTTCAGTCGTATTACGATAGTCGTAGCGGTCTGGCATAAGGCAGACGTAGAAGCAAGCGTAAAATTCAAAAGATTTGATTAATTGCTCTCGATATGGCTGAAATGTCTCCTTCCTCATTTGATAAAGGCTTCGGAATTTATTATCATCTTCTGAGAGTCCACGTGCAGCAACAATCTTTTCTTCTTATTACTTGCGATGTATGGATGGATCCAGTGAGACGTGCTCATTGAATTTTCTACTTCTACTTCAAACATAATCAAACAATAAAAAATTATCTTCGTCTGAAAAAAATGTAAGATCATCAATGGATACACCAGAAACATCTGGTACCGTTGACGCCATGATTTCAACTGAGATCTTACAAAACGATATGAGTACGTGACCATGCGTGTGTGGAAGACTGCAGGTCTCGTAAGCGTTGCGTCGTAACGATACGCTTACGATGCGTGTGCGAAGGCCCTTATTCTATTAGCCTAGGACAAATTAATTATTTGAGCGTCCTATCTATTCTTTTATTAAATCACAGGGAAATAAATATGCTTATTGAACATTTGCAAACTTTATACCATAAAGATCAACTATTAGATTTGAAACAATGCACCCTTTTGAGATACTGAATCTTTGCGAACTATCACTTGTAACTTTGGCAAATGAATCATATTCGTAATTCATGTACCTATTCTTAACCGAAAAAACTTAGTGTTTTTGAATTGTATCCATTAGTTTTAAGGAATGAATTAATAAATATCCCAAGCAATTTAACTTTGTTATTTGAAGAAGAAAGATTTTGCTTCAATTTAATCAAACTAAGTAACAATCAGCATCTATGTTTTTAATTACTAAACAGGCACATGTAAGCCATATATGTTTGAAAATTGTCCCCATGTTCACTTAAAATAATGTTAATACTAATATAGCAATTGATATTAAATTCTGCAAGTGGACTGGAAAGATCAATTTTAAAAATCATATCATTTTAGAATGTGATACTTTAGTTAAGAAAAATCTACTAGGATACGATTCCAATTTTCAGATTGAATTATCATTGCCTTTACTTGAAAGTAATTTTAGCATTTCAAATCATTCTGATCCATTAAACATTACCTTTTATTACCAAAATCATTTGGAAATAGTTCATACTAAGTTGCAAAATCTTTCTTACGGCTCTTACAGCTTTGGAACCATATTTTATGTACTTATTGGATGTGTTTTATTCACTTATTTCTTTGCGAAATATCGCTATGTTAGGTTTCAACATATTGACGAATCTGTAAAAAGTATCCAATATTCCTCTACAATCTGTAAATTAAATTTTCTCTAAGTTGGAGACCAATTTCTTGTAGGAGGAAGGAGTTATGGAATCCTGTTGGTACCATCTGTGGTACAAGCCCATTATTCCCACAAATTGAATTCTATGGCAAGCCCATTTAGAAATATTTGTTTTTTACTTTTTTTTACGATACAGCTTCGCTTTCTTTCCTATAAGGATTAAAATTATATCGAGACACAGGCAGATTTGGTTCGATCCTTGTAACCGTTCATTCTTCGTTCCTGCAATAAAGTCTTTTATTTTGACCGTACGACGTGTGATTTCCTTATTTTATATTGCATTTACTGATTGGTGAAAATAAGGGCTTATTATTATTATTATGAAACTTCAACTGCCTTACTTAATATAGTTGATTTGAACTTATCGAATGAGGAACAACATAATGTTGTTTATTATTAGTTAAGCGTAATCATGGAGAAAATCGAAAACGGTATAATTTTAAAAAGCGGAGAGCTGAAATGTCAGATCGCAGTTCTAATTATGTCACCGTGTAGATGAGAAAAAGTGATAATGTTATTGTGTAATTTGTTTGAAAAGCTTTGTCCCGGAATAAAGTCAGGAAAAAATAAAAGTGGTCTTGGCATAAATCTGGTATGAGAAGCATACGACTATCTGATAATGTCAAGACCTAACCAGGAAATTCTGCTTTTTTGAAATAATCGAGGTTTGGTAATGTCAAAGTATGACGTATTAAACGTTTTTGGAATCAGAATTAAAAGTTCTGGTTATCTGTGCAAAAAACAGTATGGCGTACACAAGAAAAAATAAAGTTGAAGCTGGAGGACAAGAGACGAAACGTCGTATTGAAATTCTAATTATGCCATCTTGTCGAGGAGGGCAAGACGCAATGTAAATGTGCAATTTATTTTGGGATCCCACTACAAATAAAGTCAGAAAAAAATCAAAACTATTTTGGGAACATTCGGTTTTTCGTCTCTCTCCGGCAGTACAGAATTTCGAAACTTTCTACGCGGCATTTTGTTAACTACCTAAATATGCGACTTTGTCCTCTTTTAGGCGACTTCGTATCTAGTATATCAGTTTCCGAGATCCCAATGGTGAGGATAGAATTGGAAACACCCTGTATGTAAGAGTGAAAAGATACACATGAATCACGAAATAATGAAAACTATTTAATGCACAAACATCAACCGTCTAACAGCTGGTCTGAAATAAATATACAGGGTGACTTCGAAGTTGAGTCATTTATTTTAACAGTGAGTAGATCAGATCAAAAGAAATGTTTTTTTCCTTTACCATTTTTCTGGTAAAATTAAAGTAACAAAGTTATAGCCCTTTGGAAGTTTGAGTACCGCCCTGTCTCAATAATAATATCATGTACTCGTGTTTGGCAACAACGGATATAATCCGCCTCACCGGTTCATCGCATCGGAAACAAAAAAGCGAAAGAATTTGGAACGATGTTTTTGCAATTAAGTATTTTATTCAGTTCAGTTATACATACAGTCAGTGTCTGTCGGTTAGCGTGTGAATAGTGTATGTTGCGTAGCTCAAACGAAATAAAAAATGGCACCTGTTTATGCGGATCGGTTTCCCAATCGAGTGCAACCAACCCCTCGTGCCTTTGTTAATGTAGTACAACCGGCTCGTGAATCAGGTGACTTAAGACCTCTCAGGGGACCTCACGATCAAATACAGGTCCGCACTGAAATACTTGTCGGGAGGATACTTTATAAAACAAGGTAAACATTTTTTTTTAATTTTTTTTTATTTTTACACACGTATTCTGGTTTATCTTCCTTCTACAATCATTATCTGAAAATTAATGACTCAACTTCAAAGTCACCCTGTATAAAATGCTTCACTCACCCAAATCGCGTCGGCCGTTGCAAATTTTGCCACTGCAAGCAAGACAGTTATCAGTTGTTTCTCTAACGGAACACGAACTGCAAATTGTTCATATATTGGTCATCATTTTTAAACAGAAAGAGCTAAATGGGATAAAGTGTACGGCAGAAATCACACGGGAAGGGCTGAATTAGAGGTATATCAGTGGCGTATATAGAGCTTGAGTGCAGGTCTGCATTTTCCTTCTAAAACTTCGAAGTGGTAGGCCACAAAAAATATTGGAAGGAAAGTCATTTTGCCATTGAGAAAATAGCGTCAAGTAAGTTGACTTTGTACTTCCAAAGGCTACGCTGTTCGTAAAGGATTACGTTTGGCACAAGTTAGCCTTCTGAGAAAAAGCACCTACAAAAATGTTTTCGAAAATTATCAGGATTGTCTGAAACGTCCAAAAACGAAGTTTGAGTGTTTTTTTTTGCTGGTTTTGGCATCTTTCTCCGCCGTCACTCAGGCGTGGGAAGTAAAAACGCTCAACTTTGACAACCTGCCATTTTCACAATATTATAGTATTTATGTATAAATTACATTGTTCCAAATTTCAGCGTACTAACTCAATCCGTTCAAAAAGTAATTAGGGGGAAGGCTTTATAAAAAGTACTGTGTAAACAACGATGACATGGTTTCTCGACTTTCCGAACTTCTGACTCACTGTCTGGGATTATCACAATAGAAATCGTAACTTCGACATGTACATCCAGTGATGTTATTTCTGTTGAAACACTACCGGGGCTTAAGATGAACGGAATTGTGTTTTTCTGAAAACATACAAGATTTTTGCGTACCAAAAGATAGTGCTTTCCATCATAAATGTCATTCCTACTTATTTTTGAGCGGGTAAAGTTAGTAAGCCGAAATTCGGTGCGATAAGATTGATGTATGGATTTTGCTTTAGCGTGAAAGTGACAGCTGCATTGACGGATCCGCAGGAAGGAAGAGGTGAACGAGGTGAGAGGAAAATATGCTTGAAGTACTCTAATATTTTTTTGTCACAAGGGTAGCTGCACGGATGCTGATGTCCGCATCTTCAATAAATCGCTCAAATTTACTCCTTAGGCAGTTGAAAATTTCGACATGGTGGCGAGATCTCCCCTGAGAAAAACTCCACTATGCGCCTATGTTGACTCATCTAAGATCTAGGTTTAATCGGTTTGTACTATTTAATAGGTTGAGGAACCCGATGATGGGCCCATAATGACTTAATCAGGAATAAGAAATGGAAAGAAAACATTTTTATTTTCCAAATTTAACTCCTATGCCTGAATCATCGTACCGATGATTCAGGTACATGGTAGAGGACTGTTATAAAGTTTGACACCTAAGCACATTTGGCAGCCATCTTGTAAAAATTAAAATTGCTCGATTTCAAGCTTTCAGATACTACTTTGGCTCTAATAAAAATGTCTGGTCCCAAAAAATGTAAGAAAACAAAAAATTACATTGTTTTTAAGCCACATAATAGTCCTTTACCCCATATAAAAATTGGCGTACGTGATGTATGATAGATAAGATGCTTTATAGTCAATTTTGAGCCTTAAATTCATTATTTTTGAAATTATCATGTCCAAAAATATAACGTATGTTACAGTTTGTCAGAACCAAAGTACAAATGGACCAAAAAGAAATGAAATAAGGAATGAATAAGCATATGCAGCACTTACGTTCTGATATCTAGCGAATTGTTCCACCAAACGCACTGCCACGGCACACAACGGCAGTTCCATGATTGAGCGTCAGCGGGTCAATGCATAATGAGATGGGTGGGGTACTCAGCTTTCGTTCTAGTAGGTGCTGTGGTCCAGGAGAATTAGATATTGGAAATTCGATAATCGATCATTTTTTCTTAAAACTGATTTTAATGAATGAATATTCCTAATCGTAATAATAGGTTTTCATTGATTCGATTATATAAATTACCTATTTTAATCGTTTTTTGTGAACAGCATATTAGTACGAGAGATTCAAAGAGTCGAAGGAAGTTCCCACAAAGAAAGACAAATAGCCTTGCGGAAACTTAGATGAAACACAAAAAACAATTGTAGGTATGTCCGCAATAAAGGAACAGGGGCAGAACTTTTTTTGTACAATCTTTTTTAAACAAATTCAGAAAATTTTGTTTTTTCTTCTGGTCAAAGTACTTTTCTGGGACTTTCTGAACAAACCATTGAGCGAGTGCGCGATTAACAATTGAAAAACTAACGCATACAGTAATAATACGTTCTGAAATGCTTCCAGGTTTTGTTCATCGATATTTGAAGAATATCTAGCAGCATTGGCAACTTAAAATTTCATTCATTCGAAAATTACATTTCGCAATTTTTTAAATATTGTGATGCTTACATCTCGGCAACTATCAACTGTAGAGAAAAGTTCTAAAGTACCTCTTTTGTTCAAAAAATCTGAACGCACGTAGCAAAAAAGTAAAATTTGAAATTGTTAAAAAAATTAATTTAAAAATTAGGTACTAGTACTATAATTGTCGAATTTATCATAGACTTTTTCTAATTTCAACTATTTTTGATGTAATATTGAGTTAAAACCGAGGCTACCACTTAAAAAAATAGAGCAATGGCACAAACACAACCCACATTTTTGTAAAACTTAATATCCGGCCACGGGCGTTACCACCGAGAGGACAAGCCCTGACAACAGACGCGTGGCGTCACTACAAGTAGGCCGGACGGCCGACAGCACGGCGTGCCGTACATCAGCGCTAGTGAATATTATTTTATTATTGAAACATATCTAACACACTATGCTTGATGTAAATGTCAGGCAATTCAGAAATGTGTTTTTGGAATATAAAGGCAACTTGGTGAAAAATATTAAAGTATTTATTTTATTAACTATTTTTACCCCGAATTTCACTGTTATTTCGTTCAACATTACGTGCACATTTGAGTAATAAGTTGATGTTATAACAATATTGTGCTAGAAGTAATAAATTGTTCAATGACATACATAACCCAATGTTAGTCACAACCAATCAACAAAATTTGACAGGAATATGTGAACAATACTATGATGATAGGCATCAAAAATGTAGTGCTTGTTGGACAGTTGTGTCCAGCAAGAACCAATAAGGAGGTCTGAGGTAAGCTCTTGCCAGGAAAGGAATAAGGAAAACAACAGTACAAAGAATAATGAAAACTTGATAAGAATTTTGCTGTTTCTCAAAGAAGCTGTTCACATCTGACCTGTTTCTAAAATTGAGCTTAATCTAGTATACAACATTACAAAAACACTTATTATTGGATTAGAGGAAATTGGTTACAAATTTTTTTGTGTTGTGATAATAAAGCACTGAATAATAAAGCGATGACACATTTTTCTCCAGATGCAGTCATTGTTTACCTTTTGGATAAAAACATCTTTTCCTCTTTTTTGATATAGTTTATCCGCAATAATTGGCTGAATTCAAAACCAGCTTGTAGCTAATGAAGCATTATTAGTTGTTGTTCCAACGATATACCCCCTTTGAAATATAAACATGGCTGAATGTGTATTTAACCATCAATAAAATCATATTCTCCTCCACTGCTTTTACATATCTGAAAAGGTTCCTTGCATAGCCTGAAAAGTTATGTATCTCATCTGGAACTGGTTCGACCATCAATGTATTACAAATTGACTTCAGAGTATTTTTATGTGGTAAAATAGGTCCTACACGACAGCTAATAAATCTATATGAATGTGGACTGATTGTATACAACATAGAGCCGAACAATATTGTTTTTTGAGTGGTAACTGTGTCTAAAAATGGAGTTTTTAATATTACCCGAGTTGAGTCAGTTGTTGGGAGTAAAGTTTACATCCAGATCTTTATCAACAATTACAGCGTGTGTTATGATAACTGGTTTATATTCGAACTTTATCCTGAACAGCTTTATGCCACTCATCTGGAGACTGCTATACTGAAAACTGCGAAGGTCTGAATAACTTTGAAAACTTGTTGATTTTTGATAGGAGATATATTTATCAATGCTATTTTGCAGTGATTGTTTCTTGTCCCTCAATTTTTCATTTCGGCTTCTGCTTTAGATGTCCTTTGAAAAGTATTTTGGGCAACTGGTGGAATCGCAAATGATGCTGTCCTCAGCAAAGTACAAATTGCCTACTCTGGTAGTTTTTGTAAACACTAAATCACTACCTGGGATGGCATTGAGACATCTTAGGCGCCCGTTTTCATTCACGGGGAACGGAACCTTCGGACTTTTCGCGTAATTACCGGCACAATTGGGAACGCGGCACTTGTACGGCATTTTGAAAACTTAGGGAAACGATTGCGAGACACAAAAATATAAGCTTGAAACAACAATAATAAACATAAATATTCATACATGATAACAGCCACAGAATTTGAGGTTAGCTGCCAGGTTGCCACAAATTCCATTTTTGCAGACATGTTAGACTTCACACGTGACAGGTTGAACTAATATTGACACTGTATTCTTGACATACTGAGGCCGATCGGAAAGAATAGTCAGATCATCAATGAAGCTGCGCAGTGCCCCGAGTACATCTTGCAAATTCGCCTACAGCGAGGTATAACCAATCAGAAGAGATTTCGGTACTGCTGTATCACACCTAGATATCTCAACACCGCTCTTACTAGCTAGCATGGCGAAACGCTATAAGAATATGAACTGGCCTAATTAGCGTGACGTCACAGCCTTTCCGCAGCTGAGTTGTTTGGCCTTGTTATATCGGGGGTAACGCCACGGGCCGACGGTTATGTTAGAAGCTGCACATCGGCTTTGGCTTCGACTACCACGGGTGGTCACAAGACGTTCTTCCACCTTTGAAATCTCGATTCCAGCATTTGAGTATATAGGGTGTCCGAATACCAGGTGAACATAGCAGTACCACGTATTTTTTACTCAAAATAAGTCAACTGGACATGATTTACCTCTACGCAAAAGTGCTTGGTTTGTATATTAGAGGGCGTCAAAGTTTTCTTTTTGAAACAGATTTTTCATATATTTTTGGAACCGGTATTATGTAGTCGGGACGACAGCACTATAAATATATGAGCAGTACTAGACGCTAGGTATTATTTGGGCCTTGTACAGAGTGAGGAAGTCATGTGGAGGAAAGTACTTCTTCGCCCTAAATAGAGCCTAGCTTTTACCCAGCAGCTGTCACTATTGACGTTCGTGCCTGGGCAAGACCTCGATTATCTGAGCCCCGATCAGCCGAAATGAATGGCTCTTTGTTATAACTCGGCCATCCATCGAAATCGGTTGAGCGCTAGGGCGTTTTTTGTTCATCAAGGTACAATGATATGTTTTGGAAGCACTAAATTGTACCCCGCAGTGATACCTTCAAGGTTCCCCGTCAGAGAGGAAGTCGCTTCTAGTATACTTTTCTACAGCTCACCAGCAGAGGTCGGCTTGACACTCTGAATTCCTGCATTTAAAGTGTTGTCATGAGCAAAGCTGTGGATTGCATTGACCGTAGCGGAAAGGAGGTCGTTAATATGTAGGAAGAATAATGTCGTTGACGTTGTGATTTTGAGGTTCTAAGAGCTAATGCCTTTCTGATAACTGAAGAGCAGGGGGGCAGTTGGCGTTGGCTGGTCGGTCTTAGTTTGCGCAGTGGGAGAGTCATGACCAGCCTGGATTCACCTTTGATTGGTAATTAGTGCGCCCCTATGACACTGCGCCCTGTGGAGTCAGCCTCAATTGCTTACCATCTGTAGTCGGTAACAAAAGCAAGCTAAACCATAGAAAATAGCGCTGCTATTTGACTAGTTGACCTGTACTATCATTGCGCAGTGTAGGTTTGGCCAGTCTTAAGACATGCTGTGTTAGCACGCCTCCGAAGTAAATTAACAACAAACATGGAAGATCCTACGATTTTTTAACCATATTATAGGAAGAATTTGCCTGACTTTGCACACTGATTGCAAATATTATCGCCAATAATATAAAAAAACGTTTTAAAAACATGCTTTTATGTAGCCGTAAATGAAACGAACTAAAAGCTTGAAAATATTTTCTTCTTATGCGCATACCTGCTTGAACTAATTTTCTGCAATTTTCCTTTCTTGTCTATCCAAATTACATCTGTGCATTTTGGATATTAGTAAAGTGATTGGTAACACGGGAACATGCCTGTGCATTTGATGAGACAGTGAGAGTGAGGGCAGCTTACATGATGAAAAAGACGTCAAATCATCTAGAAGTGGACAGAATCATCGCAACCCATAAGGGAAACTCTACAAAAAAAATCGTTCGGCTGTAATTTACTTGATATTTTGTATCTCTATTACAGTTGATTATTCCATTTTACTACATCTCTATTCGAACATATGTTGAACTTCTACATGAACCCTTTATTTGCTGGGAGGCTGTAAATCTTACGGGTTGCAATGGTTTGGTCGACTTCCAGATATTTTAACATCTTTATCATTATGTAAGCTGCCCTCATATAAAATGCACATATGTCGCCATGTTACCAGTCCCTTCGGCTCAGCTATGAGCACTTTTTTAAAAACGATATTACGACAAATAGTATGCTCATTAGAAGTGGTTTTTTTAATACTCCAACCACCACGAAGCCCTAAGGCCTAAACACCCATTTGGTACCGTGGGGCTATAGGGGGATACAGGGGAAAGGGAGGACGCCACACGGACTCTGGCGAGTGATCACGTGTGCATGCAACATGCACACATTCTGGCCCCACCTACGAGATCTGTCGGGTGGTACCTACGCGTTCGACAGTGAGAGACCGTCTACCACCTACGGACAATCACAGCATCCATAACCAAGAGAAAAATTTCTCCTGGGACGGGTTTCGAACCAGCACAGCACACGGTGACTGATCGGGAGACCGAAGAGTCTACTACTGCCGCCACCGCTGCTGCCTAATTAATCATGATAAATCTCCATGTACGAAAGTCTTCTCCGGCTGACCTACTCAACTATTGTAATACCCCCGTATACACCTGGAGCGAAACGGCTCTAGACCAATTTCTCGCAAACAACAACCAGAATGGCGGTAGGTCATTTGAGAATTCAAACGGAAATAAATGTTATGGTACCTATAAATAAATAATAAAAATGGGTTGTGAACATGTGCACGTTCTGTAACTCGCAGGCGTACCTTTCACACCCATTTTTATTGCTTATACCATGAAATTTCTTTCCGTTGTTTGCTTGCCATTGGTCTAGAGCCGTTCTGCTCTATGCGTATACGGGGATATTACAATAGTTAAATTGACTAAGTCGGCCGGAGAAGACTTTTGTACATGTAAATTTATCATGATTAATCACTAACAATATGCCTCATATTTATCGTATTATCGTTTTCAAAGAGGTGCTTATAGCTGAGCCGGAAGGACTGTAACATGGAGACACATCTGTGCATTTTATAAATAATGAAAAAAAAAATCAAAACATCTGTGGATCGAACCATTGCAGCCCATAAGGTTTACAGCCTCCCAACAAAAACTTTATCCTGAGAATGGGCGATGCGCCGCATAGGGGCAGAGAAACATACAAAACGAGTGCTCGTAGAAGTTAAACATATGTTCGAATAGAGTTGTAACAATATGGAATAAACAACTGTAATCGAGATTCAAAATATCAAGTAAATTACAGCAGAAAGAGGTTTTTTGGTTTTCCTCGGACATCGGCGTACTTTCACTTTAACGTTAACGAATGTCCACCTCTCCCACCTGACGAATTGGTACTCACTTCGTTGCTTCAAGAGAAAATACCTCGTAAGCTTTCTGTTCTTAGCGCTCAAATTCTTAATTTCCTTCTGGTCATGATGACGCTAATTATTCATGTAATGGCTAGTTAGATTCTTGGAAACATAATTGTGACGAAATCAATTCAATTTTATCCTTGATAGTTACTTATTTGGCTGACAGAGTAACTCAACTAAACAAACCAGTGTTTCCTTTTCTGAAGTAATCGTTTTTATCTTGAGAGGTAATAAAATCATTATCCTCAACTCTCGATAATCAGTTGTTTCATTTCAACCCCACTTAACCACAACCGAATGTCAGACTTTAAGTTGAGCATCTCCAGTCTGCCACTCTTGATAATGTAGTGTCTAGAAACTTGCTAAAAGTGATAAGGCCATAGCTTTTGAAGATTCTTCTGACCATTTTATTAAAAATTGAGTATATAATCAGAGCTTAGATAACAATCAGCGATGAAACTGTGTCAAAAACGGCTGCCATTTCGGCGGAGAGAGTCGACTGTAAATTCACGCTATACAAACATGAAAGGGTTTTTAGAGCTCAGCAGCAGGTTCACTATATCATATCGAAATATTATCATTTTAAAATTGTAAAGAGCATCTGCGGCCGCTGGCATGACACGAGCCAGCACCGGCTGCTGTTGAGCACTACAACCTCTTTGATCGTTGTACTGGGGGAATTTACATTCTACTTTCTCCGCCGAAATGACGGCTGTTTTTGACATTGACAGGAGAGTTTCATAGCTGATTGTTATCTAAGCTGTGATATAACTAAGTGTAAAATGAACTATGTAAGTAACTGACCTTAGTGCGCGCCGATCTTAAGATGCCTTCTCAGCGTAAGATAGTAAATAGGTAAGTTACCTTACATCTTCTTATCAAATCACCTGATAAATTGATATTCGTCTTCTTAATGGTTTCCGTTATTCAGATCCAACCACACCAAACTCCCAGTAATATGAACTTTAAGTTATAGTGGGAATATACGCTTGAATTCCGTTCTATCCTGGTGATAATACTAACTGAAATCATTGATTAGCGAATTTCATCGGCCGACTTAGCTAATTAATTAATGTATTTGACTAATTAGCTAAGTACCTTTCACTAACAAATAGCAATAACGGCTAACCAGTTGCAATCGGGAGCTTCTGGGATACCTTGAACGTCACGTCACGGCTTGATTAGCGACGGGCAGTATGGTTTCTGGCACGAGGGACCTCCTAGCTCACGTCACGCAACTGTGGAGTAAATTAATCCAGTCTTATGGTGAAGTTCATGTCGCTGGTCTTGATATCACGAAAGCATTCGATCAGTTGTGGCATGCTGTCCTCTTAAACAAACCTCCATTCAACACACAATGTCAATCCGGGTATTCCCCAGGAATCCGCCTTCGCTCCGACATTGTTATTCTTACATATCAACGACCTCATATCCTGTACAGTAAGTCCTTACCACGGCTCTGCTGATGGTCGCACTCTACATGCAGGAATTCAGAGCGACAAGTCGGTCTCCGCCACTATACTGAAGAAAAGAAGACTAGCGATGAAAAGATACCTGAATGTTTTCACTGCTTGGGGACGCAACAATCTGATACAGTTCAATGCTTATAATACACAATACCATACCTCAACTATCAAGAAACGCCCTAGCGCTCATCCGGCTTCGATGGATGACGGTGTTCTACCAAAGAGCAGTTTATTTCGGCTGGGCCAGATCATCGAGGGCTCGCCGTGTCAATGAGCTCTCCTCCATGATGCCGCCGCGCGATATGCCTACCAGGTAGACCTGCTTGATCTCGGCCTCCCGTCCTAACCGTGTCAAACTTCGTACTTCCAGAACTGGCCGATACGACCGCTCCTTTGTGCGTGGGGTATCGAGATTGTTGAGCAATCTGCCCGAGGAAGCTTTTCCCAGATCTAGTAACCTTCGGCAGTTGAGAAATTGATCTTTAAGCTCTTCATACCAGCCGCGGTACCCTGGTATTTAGGCTTCTGCAGACGCAGCTGCCTCGGTACAAAAAAAACATATAAGAAAAGCACAATGGGGCGATTTCTTCAGTTAGTAGTGAAAAAATATTTTCTCATGTTAATAATTCACTTGGTCGCCTGAGTGATGCACGACGCAAAATTGCATCGGTAATAATTGAAAAATAACATCCGTTGAAAACAAAGCTGTGGCATTCCGTGGCTTTGCCTCAACTCCAAACCATCACCCAAATTTATTTGCTGCATTCATCGCTGACCCTCGGACCATAACTGGGATGACTTATTCGAATACCTCGCCGTCCAGATCGACTTCGTGAACATCAATCACCGCGCTTCAGAGGCAGTTCTTCTCGATGATTTCAATGCCCATAATGAGCTTTGGTTGGGCTCAAATAAGACCGATGCAGCAGGTCGTGCAGTCGAAGCGTTCGCTCTTACTCAAGGGCTGACCCAGCTGGTGACGAGCTGTACTTTTTTCCCCCGCGTCTCGCCACACGCCAGTAGCCTGCTGGATCTCTTTCTGACCACACATCCTGTCCCTTACAGCACTGCTGTCCTGTCCCCCCTGGGTAACTCAGACCACGGTGTTGTGGAGGTCAGAACCCGCTGTGGCAGCAGAAACTCGTACAGGCCGCAAAACTTGGCATTACGGACATGCCGACAGGGAGGGGCTCAGAGACTCCTTCTCTAGCTTTCCTTGGAAAGATGTCTGTTTCACTGACGCGAACGCGACGGCTTTTTGTTCTTCGATAACCGAAATTATCCACGTTGGAATGGAGGAACTCATCCCTCACACAGTGAAAGTGCCTAGATCAGGGTCCAACGGCTGGTTTAACAAATCATGTGACGCTGCTCGCCAGCAGAAGATCAAGGGACACAGACCTTCTTACAAAACTCCACTGTAGAGAACAGACAAGCCGACGTCGAGTCCAGAAACAAATATAAAGGAGCGGTTCGCAATGCCAAAAACCAGCACGATATAAAAGTTAGGCACAGGGTAATGTCGCAGCGCAATGGCAGTCGGTCTTTCTGGACGCTGGCCAAGCAGATTGAAAAGAACTTCTCACACAGTAGCCTTCCACCACTTACATGTCAGGATGGAACTATTGAATTCAACTCAAAGGCCAAGGCGGAAGTGCTAGCCAAGATCTTTGCTGCCAACTCCACCATGGACGTCCCTCCCAACGCCCAAGTGCCGTCAATTCAAAGGGTTCCCTACACTATGCGGGAGGTAACATTCAGGCATAAGACCGTAAGACGAGTGCTCTTGTCGCTCGACATCAACAAAGCTTCTGGTCCGGACTTGATTCCTGCCACTGTATTGAAGAGGTGTGCAGCGGATCTTGCTCCTGTTCTTTCGCGTCTCTTCCAGATATCTAATGAATCCGGCAACTTCCCAGAAAACTAGAAATCTAACTAAGACCGACCCTTACCACTTCAGGCCTATAGCTCTGCTTTCTGTTTTAAGTACGGTGATGGAGAGGTGCATAAATCGCGAACTTCTGCACTACCTCGAACGTCATAGCTTGATTAGCGACAGGCAGTATGGTTTCCGGCACCATCGATCCACAGGGGACCTCCTAGCTTACGTCACTCAATTGTGGAGTAAACTCATTCAGTCTTATGGTGAGGCTCATGTCGTTGCTCTTGACATCACGAAAACGTTCGATCAGCTGTGGCACGCTGCCCTCTTAAGCAAACTTCTATCCTATGTCCTCCCAGAAAAGCCTAGCAGATGGGTGGCTGACTTTATCTCTGGCCGTCGTAATCGACGGGTTCTCCTCTTCATCCCACAACGTCAACGCGGGTGTTCCCCAGGGATCGGTCTTGGCTCCGACACTGTTTCTCTTACATATCAACGACCTCCTTTCCTGCACGATCAACACAATCCACAGCTTCGCACTCTACATGCAGGAATTCAGAGTGACAAGCCGATCTCTGCCGCTAAGTTGGAAAAAAGAAGACTAGCGATGACTTCCTCTCTGACAAGAGACCTAGAGGCTATCACTCCTTGGGGACGCAACAATCTTGTACAGTTCAATGCTTCCAAAACACAGTACTGTACTTTGACGAACAAAAAGCGTCCCTGCGCTCACTCGGTTTCGATGGATGGCCGAGTTCTGCCAAAGTGCCATTCATTTCGGATGGTCGGAGTCCAGATCACAGAGGACCTGATCTGGCACGAACACATCTCGTCAATAACAATTTTGCTAAGCTTCTTGACATGATTTTCTATGATCGTACCTACCAGTATGCAAAAAATTGCATTTCTATTTATCAACACGGTTTCACGAAGTTTCGGTCAACTATTAGCAACTTAGCGGTTTTTAGCCAGTTTTTATGTGAA